CAGACCAAGCCCTACGAGGAGAGACTAGAGAAACTGGACCTCTTCAGCCTCCACAAGAGAAGGTTGAGAGGCGACCTTGTGGCTGCCTATAAGTTCATCACGGGGGCACAGAAGGGAATTGGTGAGGATTTATTCACCAAGGCGCCCCCGGGGGTTATAAGAAATAGTGGCCACAAGCTAGCAGAGAGCAGATTTAGACTAGACATTAGGAAGAACTTCTTCACAGTTAGAGTGGCCAAGGTCTGGAATGGGCTCCCAAGGGAGGTGGTGCTCTCCTCCCCTACCCTGGGGGTCTTCAAGAGGAGGTTTCTTTCCTGCCTATGCAGGGGGTCGGACTCGATCTATTGAGGTCCCTTCGGACCCTAACATCTATGAATCTATGAACATGCAACCCAGTTTTCAAATGTGAATTTATTAAAATGTCCAAATCCTGTACTTTGGACACTGAAATTGTTAATTTTGTCTTAATACCAATTAATTCTCTGAATGTCAATTTGAGCATTTATATTCAGGATTTTGACAATCTATTAACATGGGACATTGAAACCTGGGCTTAGAGGCTGGGAACAGAAGTTACACATAAACGGGTTTAAGAGATCAGAAACTGGTTTAAACCTGTAACAGTACATAAGTTCAGGGCACATAAACCAGTTTCGAAATGGCCAAAACCAGTTTGAGATAAACCCGGTTGAATGTAGTATCATACTTTACTGATTGAGCTCAAACTGGTTTATGGAATTTCTGTCCCAGACCCCTTCCTTGTTTAAGTTAAACCACAGTCCCCCAGCATCCCAGCATGCTCTACAGTTCTGGGCGGGGCTGTGCTGTCTGCTCCAGTGGAGCACAGAGCTAGCCCCACCTCTCTGTTCCCTAGCTGGAGCAGGGGTGGGTGTGTGGCCAGATGCCAGCTCCACTAAAGCAAGGGCAGCAGGGAAGAGGTTTGTTCCGCCCTTCCTCCCCTGTGCCACCAGCCCATGCCAGGCATTTCTCCACTTGCTGTTCCAGAGCCAGGGGCATGGCCAATCCCAGCAGTAGCCTCAAGTGAACTGGCCGGGGGGGCGTTTAATTTCCCCCTCCTTTTCCCACCAGCATCTGAGCCAGGGTCTGTCTGGTACTCCCCCCTTGCTGCTGTAGTGGCAGGGGTGGGGGCATGGCCAGAGGCCAACCGACATGGCCCCAGGGGCAAGAAGGGGGTTTATTTTCCCTTCTGCCCCCTCTGTCCCTGAGGGACCGCAGCCAGGGCCTGCCGGCCCCAATAGCCATTTTCTCCAATTGTTCCCTGCATAGGGCAAGAGGTGAAATAAGCTCCTTCCCCACCCCCTCCACCAGACACTGGAGGGAGTGGGGAAATAACCCCCTTTCTGCCCCCACACCTACAGGGGCCATGCCAGCCGGCCTCTGGCTGCACTCCTGCCCTGCTGCTGGAGCAGTGAGGGGGGAGGGACCCTGATGAGGGCAGCACCCTCTGTCATGGTTTCCCAGGAGCACAAGCCTCTTTCCAGCAGGAGGCCTGCATTACGGGTGGGAGTGGGGTGGGCAGAGCTGCCGCACACTGTGTGGGGTAAGGGGCAATGGTGCTAGAGGGAGCCTGGGGGGCTATAGCCACCCTTCTGAGCCCCAGTGCCACCCCTCGGCCCGCACAGTCTGAAGCAGCTCAGACTGCCTCACCCCCTGCCAGAAAGAGGCTTGCACTCCCAGGAAAACATGGCAGGGGGTGCTGCCCCTGTCATGGTCCCTGCCGTCTTGCTGCTCCAGTGGTAGGGGTGGGGGTGCAACTACAGAACAGCTGGCATGGCACCCTTAGGAGAGGGGGCAGGGAGGGAGATTATTTCCCCCCTCCCTCTAGCATTTGGCAAAGAGGGCAAGAGGGGCTTATCCTTCTGCTCACTCTGCACAGGGAGCGATCGGTGGTGGCTGGGGCAGCAGCTGCGGTCTCCCAGGGAGAAAGGGGGAGGGGAATAAATCCCCTCACTGCTCCCTCTGCCTCAGGGGGCCATGCCAGCTAGCCTTTGGCCATGGCCTCGCTCCAGCCACTGGAGCAGCTAGGGGAGGTGGGGAAGGGAGTGCCAGGTGGACCCAAACTAGGGTCCATGCTAGTGGGACATGGAGAGGGGAATTAAATCTCCTCTCTGGCCAGTTCACTTGCGGTTACTGCTAGGCCTGGCTACGCCCCCAGCACAGCTTCCCTGCAGCCAAGGGCACGCTCTTGCACCTCACCAGCTTCAGGCCTGAGCCACTGCGGTTATGTGCCTGCATTTCCTGAATGTCTATTCACTTGCAAATTGGTTCAATCTAGGCAGGTTAGACTAACTTATAAAGATTGAATCAATTCAGGCTCTGGCTTTTTCAATGTCTGTCCCTAGCCAGAGTGTTCTGATACAAAATCTATAGCAAAATATACTTCCTTTGGATACTAAATTGTAAGACACAAATTTAATTGTCTGGAGTGATCTGAAACTGTACTTTCAACATAAGCAAGATTTAATGAGCTAGCTCTTCAACTGCATCAGAGTCCTACCTGATGAAGCTAAGTACAGTAAAGATGGATGGAGCCAACTGGATGACTGCTTTTCTCGATACAGTTTGGAATATCCACAAGGCAGCTTCAAATTCTGTTCAGGTACATGAGACCTGAGGGTTCATTTACAGCTAGAAATAGAGAAGTGCTCAAATTGTCCCTCTTTTCCTTGCCCTACTACATAGCTATTAGGGCTGTGCGAAGCTTTGGTCCCTGATTTGATTCAGCGGAGATTCAGCGCGATTCGGTGGCTGAATCTCTGAATCAAATCAGAGGACCCTTTAATCTCTCCAAATCGATTCGGAGAGATTTGGAGATACAGACAGAGACACAGCTTTAAATGTTTTTTCTACATACCTCTAGGAAGCAGGCGCGACTTGTGAGTGCTGTGATGCTGGAGCGCATGGAACGTCCCACAGAAGCACGGGGGTCTCCCCCGCATGCTCAGCAGCAGTCCCGGAAGTGGACCAGAAGCACTTCCGGTCCACTTCCAGGTCCACCGGTGAGTGCACAGGGAGCCACTTGGACCTCCCTGGCTTGGTGGCTGGTACCTCTTGGGTCTGGGCAGGCAGCCAGGGTCCCACTGCGGCTGATCGCCGAGCCAGGGGGCCACTGGGGGGCCCCCCAGGTGCGCTCCCTGGCACACCCAGAAGTACTTCTGGTCCACTTCTGGGTTGGCCTCCAAGTATGTGGAGGGTCCCCCTGCACTCCTGTGGGACTCTCCATGTGCCCCAGCATCACAGCGATCACAAGCCATGCCTGCTACCTCAAGGTATGTAGAAAAAACTTTTAAAGCTGTGTCTATGTCTGAATTGCTGATTCTCTGAATCAGCATTGAATCTTCAGATTTGGCCAAATCGAACTGGGGACAGTGATCTGAATCAATGAATCGAATCCCTGTCCCCGATTTGAGCCGAATCCGAATCAAATAGTGCCTGCTTCGCACGCCCCTAATAGCTATGAGGACGGGTAATGTAGGGCCAGACAACCTGGATAAAGTGGAGGAACAGTTTACAATCAATTAGACAAATTCAACAAGGACAAGTGCAAAGGCCTGCACTTGGAACAGAATAAATGAATGCACAAATACAGGCTGGAGAAGCGCTGGCTAAGCTGCAGTACTGCAGAGAAGAACCTGGGGGTTACAGTGGACCATAAGCCTAAAAAAAACGTCAACAGCATACTGGGTTGTTGTATCAGGAATGTTACTTGCAAATCAAGAGAAGTGATTTTTCTGCTCTATTCAGCACTGTTGTGGCCTCACCTGGAGTGCTGTGTCCAGTTTTGGGCTTCACACTTCAAGAAGGATGCAGACAATTTGGAAAAAGCCCAGTGCAGAGCAACAAAAATGATTAGGGGCCTGGGAGGCAAGATTAATGAGAAAAGGCTGAAAGAACTAAGATTATTTAGCTTGGAGAAGAGAAGCCTGGGGTGGTTGCAGGGCAGAGGAGGGAGGGGGAAGGGTTGGGATTGATAACAGTCTTTAAATACCTGAAAAGTGATTACAGAGAGGATGGAGATGGACTTTTCTCCATGACCGCAGGGGAGGAACTAAGAGCAACAGCCTCAGTTTTCAGCAGGGGGAACTTAGTTTGGAGATTTGAAGGAACTTTCTGTTTGCAAGAGTGGTCAAACATTGGAACAGGCTACCTAGAGAAACTGTGGAATCTCCATCCTTGGTAGTTTTCATGAGCAGGTTACACAGACACTTAACTGGGATGGTTTAGTCACGGATGATCTTGCCTTGAATAAATGACCTTGTGAGATGCCTTCCAGCCCTACTTTTCTATGTTCCCATACTGACCCACATCTGTGGATTCACCTGTGTTAGCATTTAGTTGGTTATGCTTGTAGTAAAGCTGCTTTGAGCCACTGGAGTGTTAAAAGTCAAACCTGACAGAGGCCATCTTGTGGCCCATTATATTCAATAAACTCTCCATGTATGAAAGCCATGAGAAATTTCACAGATATTTCTGATGATTACAAAAGATTGGGTCCTCATTTATTTCCAGCAGTTATCTTCTATATTTTAGTTTAACAGGGTGGGGGGAAACCTAACACATCGTAGTATATTTTTTTCTCATTCATGAGTTTCCTCATGCATACAAGGAAGAACATACAAATCTCTCTTTATGTTTTATTTAAGATCATGAAGAACTCTGTGGCACCAGTTATGGATCTTTTTGTTTAAATGGTGGGATTTGTTATATGGTACCTACTGTATCCAGTCCTTTTTGCAGGTAAGTGAAATCTAAATTTTGCATTTAGATATTGCACTTATCATAAAGAACACATTTTTATTAATAACAACTTTGTAAAAAGAAATGTAGTATGCTAGAAAAAATGACCATGGAGCTATGACTGTCAAGAACTGATTATTGTTTGTGACTGCAAATTCAGCCATTCATATTCACTTTGTTTAATACCTTGAGCAGACTCACAGAAGGCAATATTTTAAAAAACTTAGGGAAAATAGCTGTTTAGTGCAGGGGCAGGCAATTATTTTGGGTGGAGGGCCACTTAACGTTTGGTGAGCTGTCGAGGGCTGCATGGGTTGCCCTGCCCCTTGACAGGAGTCCTGCCCCATGGTTGCCATCTTGGGACTGGAACCCCTGACCTTTGCTACTGGAAGTCTCTCCCCTTCCCTCCCAGAAATACTCTTTTTGGGAGGGGGGAGTTGCCATCTTAGAACCAGAAAAAACCAAATCATACATTAAAAGTCAGACACCTACTATAACATATTCTAATTTTATTACAAAAAATATTTTTGTCATGATTTGTGTTTGTGTACTGTATATAGAGTTAATTGCATAATAACTCAAAAATAAATTATTAGTCTTGTATATTGTGTGTGGGGGTGTGGTTGGGTGTGTGTATATGCATGTATGGTGGGGTGTGGGGGTTTTATGGTGGGGGTGTGAGTGTGTATGGTGGGGTGTGGGGGGAGTTTGTGAGGGGTTGTGGCTGTGTGTGGAGGGGCATAGGTTATATTGCAGGATTGTGTGGTTTCTGGGGTGTGAGTGTTTGGCTCTGGAGTCAATGCAGGCAACACTGGTGTGTGTGTGGGGCATTTGTGGGGTGCGAGGGAGGATGGGAAGGGTGTGGGGACCCCTCACACACTCCCCCCATGGCTCAGCAGCAGGTGGGGGCACTGGTGCCTGGTTCTGGCCAGTGCTGCATGTGGCAGTGAGCAGTGCAGCCCCTGCTGGGCTGTTTGTTCCCTGGCATTTCCTGCACAAGTGGGGCACAGGAGGGAAGCCCCAGGAACTGAAGATGGCTGCTTCCCACCCCCCAGCCCACTCCACTGCCTGGGGCTTCAATCCTATGACCAATGAGTGCGGGGAGCACTAGGGAAACAGACAGGAGTCAAGAACCAGCACCAAGCAGAATGCCACCCCCACCCCCCCGTTACCAGAGCTGACCCAAGCAGGGTGCCCAGGGCACATCAGCTCATGTGGGACCCCATCCCCACTCCCATCCCACGGGTCCCAGACCTGAAGAAGCTGCTATTGCCATTGGTAGCAGCGGATGCCGTGGGGGCAAGGGGGTTGTGAGCAGCTGGATGTGGAGCTGTCACATCACCCCAGAATGCCACCCCCACCCCCCCGTTACCAGAGCTGACCCAAGCAGGGTGCCCAGGGCACATCAGCTCATGTGGGACCCCATCCCCACTCCCATCCCACGGGTCCCAGACCTGAAGAAGCTGCTATTGCCATTGGTAGCAGCGGATGCCGTGGGGGCAAGGGGGTTGTGAGCAGCTGGATGTGGAGCTGTCACATCACCCAGCTCCATGCCACCGCTGCTCCGCCCCACTCTGCAGGGCCCCCCAAAGTGCAGGGCCTGGGGTGATCCCCCCCCCCCCCCCTGCATCTGCCAGGGGGAAGGGGGGGTTCCCATACCCCTCCCCCCTCATGCCTACACCCTGCCCACTCAAGCTCTGTGCTGCCCCCACACCCTGGGTGCAGGCTCCACGCTGCAGCCAACCCCAGCACCAGCCCCACGCTCCTGCCCAGCTGCAGCCCTGCCCCTGCCCCCTTCCCTACCTGCTGCCCAGAGGGAGTGGGATTCCTGGGAAGCCTGCAGCAGCAGCTCCATCCCATGCTAGCAGGACTGGCCCTTACACCCACAAGGGTGGGAGCGAGGTATAATAGGATATGTTGGGGGCAGGTGTAGGCACCTCGCACCCACTCTTGTGGACAGAAGGGCTGGGTGGGGCACAATTTCTTGTGGGGGGGGTGTGGGGAGTGTGCCGCGGGCTGGATGAAAGTCTCTGGTGGGCTGGATCTGGCCTGTGGTCCGTATTTTGCCCACTCCTGATTTAGTGGATGTAGCAGTACTCATTTACTTAAGGATTCAAACTGTTACCTTTATTTAGAGCCAGCTACTTCCCTCCCCTCATACAGTCCAGAATGGAACAAAATGCCCTGCGTCTCCTAGTAAAAGGGCATACCGAAGGGCTTTTTTCCTGCTTTTCTCTCTATGAATTATCCAAGTTCCAAAAACATAGAAAGGGTGTGGCAGAAGCCAAGTAGGAAGGAGTCAAGGAAGAAAGTGGTTTCCTTTGGGAGAAAATGCAACAGAAAGCTCTTTGAGCTCTCACAGAACTCAAAGGAAACAGTCAAAGGCCGGGTGGCAAGGAAGCAACATTGTCTGTATGTTTTATACTTAATATAACAGAGGTTTTTGGGACTGAGAGATAGATGAGCTCCCCAGGAGAGGATCATGTAACATAGCAACTCTCAGCTGGGTTCCCTGGCCCCATGGGGTGCCACAAGGTGGAAAGAGATAAGTGCAGACTCAGGCTCATCCCTGCATGGCTGCTCTGCATCCTCACTCCGCAGCTCCTCTGCAAGGAGGTAACCACATGATTGTCCCCCTCCTGCTACTCCTCTCCCCCTTCCCCCATGGTCCAGCTCATGCTGCTCTGTTTATAAAAGTTATGGAGGGGTGCCTGGAGACTAAAAAGGTTGAGAATCACTGATATAACAGAATGTGGAAAGGCCTAGATTTGTATATAGGATCCCTTCCATTTGTAAAAACAGATCTATTATTTCAGTGTAACATCTATCAAAGAAAGAAGAAGAAAGATTTTACTGATTATAACATCTTAGGCTGTCATCTGCTGATTCTAGTTTATTGTTCATTTGAGATAAATGAACTGGTTGACTTCAATGGTTCAGTTAGCAAGCTGATACATTTCCAGAAAACTGGAACTGCATTCAGCCCCAGATTAGATTGTTAGGGCCATTTTCCTCTTTCCTTTCTCCCTGGGGGCACCAGAGGCCAGATGACAGGGTTCCATGGGCTAGATCTGACTGGCAGGCTGCATCTTTGACACACCTGTTTTATGGGATCAAGTAGAGGATTCATAAATGTTTCCCATTTTAACTTCCATATTACCTGATCACACTAGGAATGCACATATTAACAGAGCATTTTTTTAACATTATCAGCAGCATAGTAGTTAATAAAGTTGCCATTTATATCAGCATAATTAGGCTTCAGTGTTAACACCTTACTGAAATAGGTCAATCTACCTCTCACTTATTTATGCCAGAAGATATAGATTCAGCAAAGTAATGCTGCTAAGGGTCAAATTTGAATAGTTTCAACTGTAAGGACAGGGACTTATTTCCTTTATACTAAAACCTATGTTTTCCTGAAGGCCCACCAGAGAACTGTTGAAATAATATTATGGCTCATTCAAGTCCCACTTCAAGTCCTGACTTCAGAATTTTCAAAGTTTTGAATGAGACTTCATTGATACAATTCCTATTGAATCAATGCAAGATCACAGAATCATAGAAAAGCAGGGCTCGAAGGGATCTCCAGAGGTCATCTAATCCATCCCTTTTCATGAGGCAGGATCATCCCTGTCCAAACCATCATATATAAATCCATTGTCTAACCTGTTAGCAAAACTACACAGTTCTGATGCATTGCTAAATCTCCACAATATATTTTGAAAATGTAGGGAAGAATCTTTACTGGTTATATGTAAAATCTTGCAACTTGAATTAAAAAAAAGTGTTTGTAGGCCCATTCCATCAAAACTGAATTTTCACAGTATTTCTAAATTGTTCCACTGTAATAGAAAAAAGCAAAAAGAGTACAAGACAAGCTACACAGTTTGGAGGACTCTTTGACAAATTTTCTGCAATTACAAAGTCTTTGAAGTTCTAACTTAAAATCCAAACTTGGTAGCCTTTGTATCCTAGTGATTGTTTTCCAGATTTCTTAAGATATTTTATAAATTATCAATTAATTTATTTGAATTTTTAAAAAGTGCCTGTGTGAACATTTATTAACAAATTATGAAAAGCCTTACAATAAATACATCACACATCAAAGAATCAACATATCACCACTGTAATTATTCACTCTTAATCAGGAAATTAAGCCCCACCAATTTCCTGTCAAATAGATAATAACTTGCCAATATTACAGATGGGTAAACTGAGGTACAGAATGATAAGACTAGAAGTCTGTTGGGAGCGGGGGGTGTTCTCAGAGATCTTTAGGCCCGTCTGTCATCAGATTGAAGGTTTAGTGGAGGGAATTTCTTGTAAGGGACAGTTATATCAGCCATGCCCAAAAATGTTATCACTGAGGCTGAAAAAAACCACTTATGAAGTGTACATTTTTACCTCTGAAATGCATTAGTTGGCATCACATAACAGCCATTTTTAGAAAATGTTCCTTGGAACACTATTCCTTAAGCCCTATAATAAATCTTCCCACACAATCTGCAGTTTTACTTCAAAACTACAGAAATTATGCATGTTACATTATCAGTAAATTTATGCTCCAGTAGTGGAACTGCTGTCCATATCACTTAACTTCAGGGAGTGCAACTGTAGCCTTAGTACCAGTATTCTGTGAAAGGAAGTTCAAACATTTATAGTGAAATGCATTTGATAAGAGACAGACAGCCTGTTACTTTACTGTTTGGTTATATTTATGACAAAATAGAAAAAAAGTACCTCACATGGTCCCTCATTTTTCTTTTTTATGCAAACTCATAAAGCCCTGTAACAGGGTAGGACAAAAGGATATCACCAAGCTAAGGAGCAAGAGAACTTATTTGTGGAAAAACCTTGTTATAAGTTATACAGTGCACATCACTGAGATTAAGTGTGTTGTTTGATATCATACTGTGAATCAGGTGCAGAAATAAGTATAACTCAGAAACCCTGGCTTACAGTTGTTTGCTCTAGCTAAATATTACACTAATTCACAT